GGTATTATTCTGGGGCAGAGGCTTCTCCTAACACAGTTGATCAACCTCAAGGTCACTGACTATATCGCATAGGATCACCAGCTCTCTCAAAGGCTGTTCCTTCTCTGGTCACTCAGAAAGAAAAATCCAGGCATGGTGGGCCTGGTGGGCCATGGAGAGGTGGCTGAGGCATCTGTAGTCAGGGAATATGTTGCAAGGAGTGTTGCGTACCATTTCCAGCAGCAGAGGCGGGGCAAATGTCATGGGGTGAAGGGCCAGGAGAAGACCAGGGCATATTGAGGGAAGGGAGAGAACACTGGCCTCTTCCTAGAAGGGCAGAGGGCAACAGCAGAGCCTCCCACCTCACGGTATTGAGGGAAGAAGTGGAAGGAGCTAGCTAGACCGAGAGGCTAGAAGCCCCAGGGTGGAGTCTGCGGGGTGAGCTCAGGTCAAGCCTTTCACCCTAATGTGCCTCAGTTCTCTCCCAGCTGTTAAACAGGACTCCGGATTCTTCCCAGGCAGTTAATGAGTGTTTACCAAAGGGCTTGGAGATCCTCAGATCTCAGCTGGGCCACCACTACAGTTATAAAGCTCAGTAAGAGCTGAGTGTTATTTGGGGAGGGGAGGAACAGGGGAAGAGGGAAGCAGGCTACTCTCTCACAAGGCAAGGATGAAACCAAGCTCCTGGACAAGCGCAGGCCCAGCTGCCACAGGATATCCTTGTACCCAGGAATGGAGGTCCCCCTCCCCCTCCCCCTAACCACCACTACCGAAGGCTGGCCTCCAGCTAGCTGTAGGCAGAACCCAGCCGGGCAGCTGGCCTTCATTAACTCCAGCTTTTTCGCCCCCCACTGTGAACCCACAGCGTCTACAGGCCTAGGCTACAGGGGGCTGCCCTAGCCTGACCTTGCAGCTGACACTGGGGTGGGGGGCACCACAGCAAAGGCCAAGTTACCAGCTGAAAAGAAAGTCAAGCGAGACTCCTATTTTCCCACTGGGAGCAAGCAGAGAGGAAAGGAGTGTGGGGGTGAGAGGGTGGAGGTGGGGGAATTTAGGGCAAACAGCAGGCAGTGAAGTCAGCTGGATTCAGGCCCAGAAACCCCCACACCCCGAAGCCAAGTCTTACTCTAGCCTTGCTTTCAGCTAGAGTCTTGGCGAGGCCCCAAACTAGGGAAGGCCCTGGCTGCCCCTTTCCGCCTCCCTGCCCCCACCTTATTAAATACACATTTTATCTCTCAGCATCTTCATTATCTTAACTGAAGGAGACAAGCAGTGGATGGCGGCAGCAGAGAGCGTCAGGGAGGGGGGGTGTGGGGAGCAGGCGCACCCTTGTTACAAAGTGCTGATGTAGCTCTTTCAGGCAGTGTGGGAAACAGAGGAGGGATCAAAGCGAATGAGGCTGATTCAAAAAAAAAAAAAAAAAAAAAAAAAAAAAAAAAAAAAAAAACCACCAACACAGGAGCCGGCTCTCCTTTTGCCAGCCTTCAGCCTTTACCCAGACTCCGTGCACCCAATTAGCTTCTAGCGGCAGTGTCTGGACTGGTGGAGTTGGCCTAAGAGGAGACTAGAGAGCAAACTTCTGCCCAGACACCTTCCTCTGCGTTGGGGAAGGCATCAGGAGAAAACTCAAATAACTTACCACACAAAGGTAGAAAGTAGGACATTAACGGTGGGTTCTTCCCCAGTACCTCACCAGAGGCAGTTTTCTGGGCAATCTCTGGGGACGTTGGGTAACTTCTAGACCAAACCACCTCTTCCTAGCCTGTAGGCAAGTCTCCAAGCCAAAGCCAAAGCCTCCCCGAAGCAACAAAGGTTGCCTGAAGCCAACTACTAGGACATCCAACCGAAGGGCTGAGGTCTGCTCCACACAGGCCTGGCAATGGAGATGAGGAGGCCTTTTGCGGGGGCCCAGCCCAGCCCAGCCCACCCGAGCACCTCAGCACTGCAGAGTTTACCTCCAGCTGAGAAGTGTGCTCAAGGTGTGTGTGGGGGAAGGCAGTATCGTCCTTGTATTGTTCACTGAATAGGAGTTAATGAATAGCTACCAGAGTTAGGTGCTGGAGATGGATACAAATGTAAATAAAACCTCACTCTGGGTTCAATCCCCTACACCATAAACAACAACAAAATCCCACTTTGTCTCCTCCCCGACACCCCTCCTGTAGTCAAGATATTTTTGTGCATGTGTAGGCTAAAGGTCAACTGTAGGTGTCATTCCTCAGGAGCTGCCAGGCTTGTTTTTTCACTACAGTGGCGGCTCTTACCTGAAGTGACCAAGTAGGCTAAGCTGGCCAGACAGACAGTCCTAGAGATCTGCTGGTCTCAGCCTCTCCAGAGCTAGAATTCAAAGTACCAGTGTGTGAATGCATGGGGGGTGTCCTGGAGATTGATCTTGGGGCCTCATGCTTGCACAGTAAGCGTCTTGCTGATGGAGCTATCTCTCCTGCCCTAGTCAAGGCATTTTTACAAACATGGCCTTTCTTTTTCACCCCCAGCACTGGGGACTGAACCCAAGACTTTGTGCACACCAGGCAAGCACTCTACCTCCGAGCTAGTGATTTTTACTTTATTCTGAGATAGTTTCACTAAATTCTCCAGGTTGGCCTTGAACTCACTCTGTAGTCCAGGCAAGCCTTGAACTTGTAATCCTCCTGCGTGACAGGGAATACGGGCTGTACCACCACGTCCAGTTCACTGTTTATCTTTGGAGGGTACTTAATAAAAGCAGGGAGGACTGGGAGTAGTTCAATGGTAAAGTTCTGTGCTGGACGGTGGGGGTGGGGGCAAGGAGCAATGGGAAAGGAGGGGAAGAAAAGGGCTCTGCCAAGTTTTCTGGTTTCTGGGTAGCTAGCCTGGACCTCACACACTCTTGCAGTTAGCTAGCCACAGGCAAGTCTTCATTGAGCCAGAAATGTCAGTGGCAGTTTTGGGGTTGAAATTCATACCAACTTTATTGGGTCTATGTTCTTTCCATGGCAATACCCAACACTATGGAAGCTTAGTATGGTTCTTAAAAAAAAAAAAAAAAAGACAGACCAGGATAGACACTCCCCACCATCTTCAAAAGGAAAAATGTAGGTCAGCATCTTTGCCACTACTCCATGTGGAGTGGCCTAAGATCCTGGCAAAAAACTGTAACCACAGGCCCGTCCCATCCTACTTAAACTCCCACCACCTTCCCATAGCTCCCAGCTTCAGTGAGAAAAACTGGCCAAGGAAGGGCTCTCTTCCTTTCTGCCCTGGCCGGCTGTCTGAATCACACTTAAGACTTTACTGACAAACATACATCAGCCTCTGCCCCCACAAGGGCAGCGGAAACCAAGCAGGGACTCTCGTCTGCTTCACGCATCATTGACAGAACCAACCCCATTTCAATTGCTGAAGTCTTAAGAGTGGCAATGACCTAGAAATTGACAGTGGGGGGAGAGCTGAAGGAAACTAACAAAACAGTACACAGAAAGCCTTATTTCAAAGTGGGGGGGGTGCTCGAGAGAAAGAGAAGAGGTAGAGGGGAAGGAACTTGGCCCGTTTGAATCCACCAATGCGATCTTGGCTTGAAGCCAGAGAGGATACAGTGCAGTCCCACTGAGAGTCAAGCCATGTTCCCGACTCAAGCCCTACAGTTAGAGGAAGGCGCCAAGCCTCAAATACAACGAGGTGGGGAGGCTGCTCCTTTTTGGGCAGGATCCTACTGTGGACACAGAACAGACAGCAGCTGCCCACAGTGTGGAAACAAACTGTAAAGCAGTCACGTCTCTTAAGGCTGCAGCATCCAATAAAATGTAATTTAAATCAAGCCTCACATCTGTTCTCAATCCCATCCAGTCTCTGCTTTCCATCAGCCTTCGGACAATCTTAACAATTATGCTTGTTAACCCTTATAGTCCCAGACATTCTCCAAACTTCTTGGTAGGGAACAGTCCTCTCCACTTGCACACTGCCCCAGAGGGAATGAACCACTCTGGTAAAGGAGGAGTGTGTGACATTCAAACGCCTGTCTTCAGATTCTTCCGCTACACACACCAGTGGTTAAGTATGCATTTCAGAGAGCTCACTGCCCTTCTATCCCATCCCATACCACCTGCTGTAGCCAGATCACTTTACAAGGATACAGTGAGCAGAATGAATGAAACAGTGGCCAACAGATCTGCTGTAGGCATATCAGATTCCCAAACTCAAGGCCAGATCAGACAAGGAGGCAGCAGCTTCACTCAGAGAAAAGCAAAGGCTCAGACCATTCATATCACGGTGTTTGCAGCCAACCATTTGCTCAGGCCATAAAGGAATAGCAATCTCCCCAACAAGTCAAACTCCAGCATCTTCCTGCCCCCTCCCTCCAAACCACCCTTGCCTTATCCCATACATTCACAGAAAGTGTTATAATGGTGCCCTCTGGTGTCCCTGTCACGAATTGCCACTTAAAGCCACTGGAAAGCAAACCCAGCAGTCTCAGTAACCATATGGATAAATTTATCTAAGGAGACTGGGAAAATGTGTTCAGACGAAAATCCAAGCCTGACCTGAGGCATATTGAAACAATGGCTTCATCTGAGGGAAGCTAAGACTGTGGCTCAGTACAAGAAGGCATTTCCGGTTTTTTGTTTGCGTGTTTTTTTTAGAGACAGTGTTTCAATATGTAGCCCTGGATGTCTTGGAACTAACTCCCTCTGTAGACCAGACTGTCCTTGAACTCAGAGCTTGGCCTGCCTCTGCTGTGATCAGAGTGTGCCGCTGCCGCCACCACCACAGTTAAGAGGGTATTTTCATATTAACCTTTGAAAGCTTAAGCTCTCATGGAATTTGACTGCTTAAAGAGGCAACAAATGCTGGCCCATGAAATGACTCAAAAGATGCAGGTGCTTGCTGCCTGCCATGCTTGGTGACCTGCCTTCAGTCCCTGGGATTCACACAGCGGAAGGTGAGCAATGACTCTCGAAATTGTCCTTAACACTGGCACCCATGTGCCCACACACAAGCGAGTTAAAAAAAAGAACAAAAGATAGCAAATGCAGCCCAACAAATGAAACTTGAAAATAAATATATTCACAATCTGTAGTTACATTCTTCTTATCACCCCTGTATTGCGTGGGAGCTCTGGAGAAACTTCAAGTCCTTAAAAAGTCCAATGCCGTAGCACCCGGCCAACAAATGCATGTAGTAGATTCCAGAGTCCTTTGACCAAAATGTCCTTCAAATTTCCATGGAGGCTTGTATATCTTTCTGGATCAATCTACTCCATCTTTAAACCTCAAAGTTCTTTATAAAATATATTGTTTGTAAATTATGTACAAATCCTTCAACACAAGTCTGTATATACTTGTAGGCACACTCGCTGGTTAGGAGCATAAGTGGGAAAGTTACTGAATATTACTTTAACAGGGGTCATTGTGAGTTTTGTTTTTAAAGTGTCTTATGTAGTCCAGGCCAGCCACAAACTCGCTATGTAGCAAAGAATGGCCTTGACCCCCTGATCCTTCTGTCTCTGTTTCCCAAGTGGTGGGTCACAGGCATACGCCATCACACCCAGTTACCTGGTCATTTTTATGGGTAAAAACAGTAAGAACCAAAGATATTAGTCAGTGCTAACATTCGTGAATTCATACACTAAAATTTACTGGTGCCGAGTAAAAAAGGTCATAGCTTTCCAAATGACCCAACTAAAATGGAGACTCCCTGATCTGCCAAATGCCAGCTGGATACTTGCAGGTAGGGTAAGAGAAGCATTCATGGCAGTCCATCGGCGAGGATGTTACCAATGAAAGCTTTGCCTTTTAGGACATGCTCTATTTCCTTTTCTTCAATCTTCAGAGACACCTGGAAAGAGAAAGGGATTTTCTATGAGGGAGAACACGTGCACACACAAACACACGTGCGCTCATGCACACACGCACACACACACACGCACACACACACACACACACACACACACACACACACACACGCATGCCCCCACACACCATTACACTGCCTATCATATTTCACTCTCCTCAGGCTGGCAAGTCAAACCCTGCTGTTTTTAATGGTCTAAATCCCTCCCTCCCATCTGAAATTCTAGTTATCAGAAAAACAGACGGTTGACTAGTCATTTCTAATCTTTACTTTGGCAAAGGACACGCTCTCCAGAACAGGACAATTACAAGCAGGGACACAATAAGCTGTTAGTTGTACCTTGGTCAGGCGGCTTTCCTTATTTTTCTTTAATCCTAAAATGCCTCTGGACTCCAGAAGTCCTGAAAGGGACAAACACTCAGACTGGTCCACAGCTGCCACCCGCTGTTTTCGACAGACGCTACTGTAGGCTTCATATAACTAGGAGGAAATGAGGGAGAACAAGTGTCACTTAAAGCTGTATCTCATAACCCTCAGATTCAAAAACAAAAACAAGCCCAGAAACTCTATCTTAAGCTACCTGAATATTCCATGGCCCCTCCTTTCAATAAACCCTGAACAGGTAATAGACTGTCTGTACTCCCTGTACTCCCTCTTCCTAGACTGTACAGTTAACCTTCAATTCACTTTTATTCCCAGCGTCTTGCTGGCATGTGTTTATGTGTGGTCCCTGCACCCACACCTGATGCTAACAGAGAGCAGAAAAGTTGTCAGGTCCCCTGGAACCAAAGTCACACACGGCTGTGAGCCACCACATGGATGCTGGGACTGGAACCCGGTCCTCGCAAGTACAGCAGCAACTGCTCTTGACTGCAGGGTCATTTTAATGTAAAATGTAGGAACCTGGGCTTAATGTGACTTCAGAGGGAAAAACAGAAAGGGTTGCTCGTAGCTCTGGACAGCCATCCTCCTTGGTGGTGAGGCAGGGTCTTCTATATATCCCTTGGCTATCCTGGAACTCACAATATAGACTAAACTGGCCTCAAAGGAATCCACCAGTTCAAAGAGACCCACCTTCATCTGCCTCCCAGAGTTTTGGGATTAAAGGTGTGCTATACCATTGCCTGGCCTTAACTCATGTTTTTGAGTTAAGGCTACTAAGTAGCCCTGGTTGGCCTAGAACTATGTAGATCAGGCTGGTTCAAACCTGCAAAGATCCACATGCCTCTGCCTCCCAAATGCAGTGATACTAACATTTATTTTTACTGGAAAAAAATCCCAGGGCATTGGTGGCACACACCATTAGTCCCAGCACTTGAGAGGCAGAGGCAGGTGGATCTCCTTGAGTTCCAGACCAGCCTGGTCTACAAGAGCTAGTTCCAGGACAGCCTCCAAAGCCACAGAGAAACCCTGTCTTGAAAAACCAAAACAAACAAACAAACCAAAACCAAAACAACAAAAACCATTTTTAACCCCTACTGCCTGGAAAAGCCATGTCTTTTAGAAAACACCTGCATTTTAGCCTCAGTTCTACCTGCTGATACCCCAGCTTACCTTCCCCAGAGTGACCTCTTTGATTTTCAGCCGCCTGGTCAAAAGCAGCAAAGAACAAACCAAGATCTTCTGCTGGAGAGGGAAGGAATCTTGTGTCTTTTCTTGGCTCAGAATTAGCCTGTTCCCATCAACTTCCGAAATGACTTGGGATATGTGAGCAAGGCCAACACGCTTGGGAACCGGTGCTTCGGAGGGTGACTGACCTGCAACATAAGCAAGCCAGTGTCAGGCTAAAGGAAACCCAAACGTGGCGACAACTGCAAGGCAGAGGTTCCGCCTCTAAGGCAGAAGAGGAAGAAAAGGCAGTTCCAGGTGATGGGGTGGCATGGAAAGCAGGCTGCCTTTTCTCTAGGAAGAACCATGATCTTTTTTGTTCTTCAGGGTACAGCTTAATGTTGAGAAGACAACTAATCTATCTACCTCCTGAATGAGCAAGAACCAGACAGAAGCTACCAAGCACAGCTAACTGCCTCAGAAGTTGGCTGGGGGTGAAGCCTGGTGTAACAGCACTTGCCTAGTGCAGAGCCCTGGTTGATCCTCAGCACAAACCCTGCAGCAGAGATGACTACCTGATAGTGAGGAGGCAAAAGAAAGAGTTGGAAAATGTATGCAATATTTTGAGTCAAATGAGTAGGTAAGTATAGACAGTAAAGTCAATCCCACTTTAAGCCCCTGTGCCCCAGATGGCTTCCCCAAATGAACTTGCAAATTTGTTCACTCGTCCAAACTCATCTGCAAGACAGCAACATTTGAAAAAATGCTACTGGATAGCCTAGCAGACAGCACCCTCCCCAGAGCTGGAGTCTGGGAACTGCAGAGAATCCACACAGGACCATGGTCTCACTATTTGGAGAAGCATGACTTCGATGGGGTGGGGTTTGCTCTCTAACAACCTGTGCCTGCAGTTACCCCACAACCTGATTTTACTCTTTTACTGCAAGCAGGAAGCTGCAAAGGGCTAATAGAGAAAGCAGAGCCCACATACCAAGCAGCAGAAGTTCCACGATGAAAGGAACTGGGAAGTCTCTTACTCCCTACACAAGGGTCAAGTACCCTCTAAAACAATCCCAACATGACATCTATTCATTTTCTTATTGTTTCATGGTTTAAGATAATCTTTGTTTTGTTTTTCTTTTTCTTTTCTTCTTCTTTTTTTTTTGGTTTTTTGAGACAGGGTTTCTCTGTGGCTTTGGAGGCTGTTCTGGAACTAGCTCTGTAGACCAGGCTGGTCTCAAACTCAGAGATCCGCCTGCCTCTGCCACCCGAGTGCTGGGACTAAGGGCATGGGCCACCACCGCCTGGCTTTGTAGCCTGCCCTGGAACTTGCTCTGTAGACCAGGCTGGCCTAGAACTCACAGAGATCTATCTACCTGCCTCTGCCTCCCGACTGCTGGGATTAAAGGCATGTGCCATCACCGCCCAGCTAAGAGAGTCTTTCTATGTCATCTATGTTTTCTATGTCACCTATGTTGGCCTTGAACTTGTGTCAGTTCTCCTGCTTCAGCCCATAGAGTACCGGCTTTCATAGGTATGGCCCACCACGCTTGGCATCTAGCTAATTTTTGTTTGCCTATCTTCAGTGCTGGGGAACCTAGTTATTTCTATGTATTACAAAAGTTCCTTCACAGAAGAAACCTTGTCTTGAAAAACAAAAACAAACAACAAAAAAGTTCTTTATATTTAGCTGAAGTCACTTACTCCATAGTTTTCTACATAGCTAGGGCATTGAAACTAGACTCCCAGAAAAGACAGGAATTAGGTTAGTCCCACAGTTTACACCTGGAACTTGAAGCTCTTTCAGCAGTATGTGCTAGAGGTGTTCTCAGCACCAGCAGCAAGCCCACATGCTAGGGGAAAGGAGCCGGTGAGAAAGGGATAATCTAAAAGACCCAAGTCCACATATTGGTATAAACAGCCTACTCACAGCCCAACTACTAATTCGGGCTACTACTGAAACAATTAAAATGGTTTCTTTTAATAAATACTGACAAGTTCCAGCCAAAGCTGTTACACAGAAAAACCCTGTCTTGGAAAACCAAAACTAAGTAAATAAGAATAAAATAAATACTGATGAAAATCTGCCAGTGAAGAAAACAGGGTTGAGGAAAGGGGAAATTAAACCTCATTTGTGACAGCTTTCTGTTTCCTATAGCCACAGATCTTTGTACTCCATCCTTGTAGACTGCCTTATGACACCCCGAGATGAACTCACAATCTGTTCATTCCATCACTTTACTTCCTTTCCTTGCCAGGCATTACTTTCTCCTACGTTTTAAAGATCTAAAGGGCACTCAAGGTTAAGTACTCAGAGAGAAGTCAACTCAATCTTGCTACCTAATTTTTGTTCTGAGAGCCTTGGAAGAAACCTTACTACTTGGGTCCCACCATTTATGAACACTCCAGGGAACTCATTTCCAGTAACACACATACTGATACTGGCAGGCAAGACTGAAATAAACTAGATGAAACTACAACCTGTGGTGTGTGTGTGTGTAGGTTGATTTCACTTGTGTGTGTAGGTGGATTTAACTGTGTTCATTTTTCCTTGGGAAACTTAACTCTCCATCTATAAAGGAAGACAGGAAGCAGGTAAGCTACTCACCTTCAGACAGTGGTTTGAGGACTGTCTGGCTTTTGACATCCGCCTCCACAATTTCAATAGCTCGCCTATAAAAAAAAAAAAATTTTTTTTTCCCTAAAATTTAGTCTCAGCCAAACCAAACACCACACTAAGCCACCATGCCCCAAAGCAGGCACATTAACTAAACGCACATTTAAAAAAAAATTAAGGTACTTTCCAAGTTTGGTGCCCAGCACCCACATCAGGCAGTTCTCAATGTCCTGTACCTCCCTCCAGCTCCAGGGGATCTGACACCCTCTATGGCACACAAACATGAAGCTAAAATGCAAATCAATCTTGGAAGCCAGTATGGTCACACAGTGAGTGAGTTCCAGAGGAGCCAGTTACCCAGGGAGACCCTGCCTGAAAAATAAAAAGTAAGGTCCCTAAACAAACCGGGTTATGTTGCAGCTTAAGGGAGACTTGTCTGCTTTTAAAATGAAGACCAGGGATTTGAGAAACAATACTACTTATCTTCCTCCAACAGATGTCAAGCAGGTTGTCACACATTAAGCCAGTAACATTTTAGATGAGGAAAAGTCATGGGCAGAGCAATATGCAGTGTGGGGGTAGACTAAGGGGAACTTCCAGCACTCCCACACAGCAGACCCAAAAGGGGAGTCCTCAGATAGACACAGGACACACATAGGCTAATCTTGCTGACCTACATGGCTATCACTCATAGCTGTAGTTTTTACTCAAGTAGTTTGCTGACTAGGGGCTTTCACATTCCAGATCACGCAATCTAGCAACAGGAAGAGCTTCCTCTCCCACTGCTCTGTCTAAAGTGTTTTGCCCACGGGAAGCCATAAGGCAGGACCTGGATCTTCTGCATGGCAATAGGAGGAAGTTGGACCAGGGGGCCAGCACAGCAAGGATCACTTTAATGGACCCAGTGCCCCTACTGGGAGGGAAGAACTTTCATCAGTCAGCACTGAGGCTTTCCCCAGCAGGAGGGGCGGGGGATGGAAGAGAGAAAGAGGTCTAGGGTAGGACTTGGGAGGCCACCAACTGGAGGGAGGAAGGGGTGCCCACAAAAGGAAAGGAAAAAGAAAGTCTAAAGGCAAAGATGGTTCAGGTCCATAAATAAACCTGCTTGAGCCCAGCGAATGGAAAAGCAAACTGGAGTCTTTTTAATACAAATGTAATTAACCAATCTATAATCACCACAGGGGGCGCCAGCAACATCTCATTTGTTTCCCTCTCTGTAGGTAATGGACTGATAATGTTTCAGACATTAACACGGTGGAAACCCAGAGTCCCCGCTGAGAAACAAGTCCTCTTTTTCTGAGCATAAAAAGTAGCAGAATGGGGCCTCTTAAGCCACATTCATTTGAGTTACATGAGACAATTGACATCATCCCACGCCCCCCCCCCTTTTAATAAAAACAGTCAACAGTACCATAACTCACCTGCAAACATCCAGTGCTTTACGGATGTCTCCCGAAACAGCGGATACTTTTCGGGCACAGAACTGAATTGCAGCACTGTCCAGAACCTGCTCTCTTGACACCTTTAGACAAGACACAGAAGACAACAGAGTCAGGCTCAGTAACACAGGCCCATCCCTAATCCTAGCTACCTGGGAGACTAATGCAGGAGGATCTACACTTAAGTTAACACAGCGAGGCTGTCTCAAAGAAATATACAGTAAACATAAGACAAATACAGTTCATTGTGGAGCACTTACTAACACAAGGCTTTGTGAATCCCAGTACTATCAATTAATAAACAATAAAATAAAAAGACAATTTAAACTCTGAGAGTTTCTCTTAGTAATTTAGGTTCTAAATATAAATATTTTCACAAATTAAATCTAACTCTGGGACTGGGGGTGTATGCTTAACACTCAGAAGGTCTAAATCTGACTGGCCACCTTTTAGGTGTAAGGGACATATTGCATATATTTAAGAATTTTCTAGGAATGGGCTGTAGAGGCTCCTGAAGGGAACAAAAAAGCAACTGAAACTACAAATGTTTTCCTATAGGCCCTCTTTTTTTTTGGGGGGGGGGACAACGACAACGATGACATGATATCTCTCTCTATGTAGCCCTAGCTGGCTTCGAATAGAGGACTGCCTACTTCTGCTTTCCAAGTGCTAGGATTAAACGTGTGCACCACTAGGCTAAGAGCATAAGCCCCACTTTTAAAAATTTATTCCATTTGTTTATTTTTGTTTGGAGTGAGGGTAGAGCAGGGCATGTGTGCCACACCTGTGGAAGTCAGCTGACACCTTCCAGGAGCCAGGTCTCTCTAGCTACCGTGTAGGTCTCAGAGATGGAACTCAGTTAATTAGAACTGGCAACCAGTGCCTTTACCTCACTGGCCCAGGCCCTACCTTTTAAAGGCCATTAAGGAAGCATGAGTCCTCTAATTCCTACTTTTATTTCAACAGGGAAGCAGCCAATAAATGAAACCACGTGCAGATATTAACATAAAAATGTTCTCACTCATTATGGTCCATGGGAGCTTGCCACATCATTAATAAAGCAATCAAGTCAAAAGATATTAAACCTATTGTTAGCCTTCCATCACAGAAATTATCCCTGCAACTTACCTGATTGAGTCTATCCTGCAAGATTGTAGCTATCTGGTTTCTGGTATAAGGTGGGAAGTTCAAGAGCTGGGGCTTACAGTTTTCTCTAGCTTCAAGTCGAGGTAGAATTCTGTCTGTGAGATCTAGGGTATTAGCAATACCTGAGAAGATAAACAACAACCGCCATTAGCAGGCAAGTCGTCCTAAAAGGAAATTAAAATCTCTGAAATATAAAATTCCCAGGCATAACCCAGTACTTCAGCTGTTGCTTCCACCCCACACTAAAAGGCAAGATGGACAGACCCACTAGGTAAGATACAGTGGTTAGGCAGGTATAGTGAAGCAAGCTTATAGCCTTAACACATGGGAGAATGTGACAGGAGGATCATGGGCTTAAGGCAACCCTGAGCTAGAGACCTTGTCTCCAGGAAGAAGGGGTAAGAAAAGAGGATGAGTAGGGCAAATTTCTGAATTCCAAGCCAAGCTGCAGTGAGACCCCGCCTCAAAAACAAATCTACTGAGCCAGACATCAAGGTGCACTCATCCTTCCAAACAGCTGTGATCACAGAGATGTTTCTTTGTCATTTTTATTCAGACCTCACAAAATCAAAGGACCCGGGTTCAACTCCCAGCACCCACATGTCAGCTCACAATTGTCTGTACCTCCAGTTTAGGCAATCAGATGCCCTCTCCTGGCTTCCATAGGAATCCCGCATACAAGTAGTACACAGGCCTGCATGCAGGCAAAGCACCCATACACATAAAATAGAAATAAAATTGCAGGTAAATAACTTGCATAGCTGGGGGCTGGAGAGATGACTCAGAGGTTAAGAGCACCGACTGCTCTTCCAAGGGTCCTGAGTTCAATTCCCAGCAACCACATGGTGGCTCACAACCATCCCTGGTGCCCTCTTCTGTTGTGAAGACATACACGGAAGCAGAATGTTGTATACATAATAAATAAATAAAATCTTAAAAAAAAAAAAAAAGAAACTTGCATAGCAACTGGAGAGATGGCTCAGGGAGCAAAGCACCTGCCACACAAGGGTGAGTGAGGAGCAGTGTCAGAGCCAGGGAGGCAGGGTGGCCGGCCTGCAAGCCCAGCACTCAGGAAGCAGAGAAGAGATCGCAGGGTCAAGCTGGCTACATAGACTAACTGCATCAGCCGGCTTCAGGTTCAGCAAGAGACTGCTTCAACAAATAAAAAATCAACAGCACTGGCAGCTCTTCCAGAGGTCCTGAGTTCAATTCCCAGCAACCACATGGTGGCTCACAGGCATCTCTAGTGGGATCTGGTGCCCTCTTCTGGCGTGCAGACAGAACACATGCAGACAGAACACTATATACATAAAAAACAAAACAAAACAAAACAAACAAACAAACAAACCCCACAATGGAGGAGGGCCATAAGTGACATCACTCTCTGGCCACTACACACACAAATGCACCCACACTATACACATATGAGTTGAACAGATCTTAAATGATTCATAAAATTTCAAATTCACCATGTGAGACATTAACAAACTGAGCACTAACCAATAAGCACCAATCGGGAATTGCTCAGCCATGGCCATTCAAACAGCGTGTATAACACATCCTGCCCTTTGCTGTCCAGTTGATCCATCTCGTCCAACACCAACACGCTACATATAAAGAGGAACAATTAGTACCAGTCACATTTTCAGTCTCCCAGTGCTTGATCTGAGCTAACCTTAGGTTATATTCACAAAGCTGAGTGAGATCAGCCTGCAGACCACAGCTCCATCTTGCCGCTGGCAATTGTTAGACTGGCACCCCCAACATTAACAAGTATCATCCAACTGTTTTCAAAGAACTAGCTTTAAAACAGTTAAAATCTAAACGAGAGAAGTGTAGGGGCTGTGAGTGTGACTCAGTGATAGAGCACTTATATAACATAAATAGGGTCCTGGCTTTGAGCCTCAGCACTATCAATAAATAAGTCGGAACTATATTTTCAAAATTAGAAAGTACATTATCTCTCTTTTCTTCAAGCATATGCACAATTTCTCAGTGCAAAGTTCCTTTCAGGGCATGTTCTTTTCGTGGGTAACGCTTGAGGGTTTTTACTGAGCAACATGCAGCAGAGAAATACTTACATCATGGGGCCCTTCTCAGCGGTCATATGCTTTTCCAATTTTCTCATCAAGTCCTTCCCAGCTGGTCTGCACATTTCCTCATGGCCAATCTCCTGAGCAATAGCTGGGAACACAGCCTGGGCACTCCTCAAAGACATGCAATTCAGCATGATAGTTTTAAAGCCTTTCACTTCCTTCTAGGTATAAAAAAAAAAAAAGACACAAACATGGGAGTTATGTTGGCTTCAGACAAAGATTTGCTGAAACCCGATCTGGTCTTAAGCTAAGAGAATAGAAGAGTGAAGCTCTACTTTCTTTTGGAAAGATTTATATCCTGAAAAAGAATTCTTACTCCTGGGAAGCATTCAATCACAACGGTCTATTCTTTCTTAACCCTTAGGAGTCAGATCATTCCAGTAAGTGTACCTTGAGGTCCTGCAGAATCCGGCTCAAGCAGGCAGTTTTTCCAGTCCCAGGAGCACCAGAGAGGTAGAGACTTCCAGCTTTTTTCCCACAGATGTGTTCCTTCAGGAAGGCCCTGATGACATCCATCTCCTTGTCTCTGGCAGGCAGCCGATCTGGGACAGCTGTGTTCAGGACAAGCTTTGCTTGCTGATAGCAAGTGCCTGTGCCAGACACAAAAGGGCAGTTAAGATCCAACAGAAGGTGACAAAAGGACTCACTGGGTTTCATTCAGAACCATCATCTCTGTCAGTGCACCAACAGCTGCCATGTGAGAACCCACTTCCGGGTTGGGGAGATGGTTCAGAAGTTAAGAGCACTGGCTGCTCTTCCAGAGGTCCTGAGTTCAATTCCCAGCACCCACATAGTGGCTCACAACCATCCTTAGTGAGAACCTGATGCCCTCTTCTGGTGTGCACGCAGACATGCAGATAGAGTACTTGCATACATAAAAAAAGAACAAGAACCCACCTTCTTGCTTGAACAGCCTTACTCGAGCAGGTTCCTTCTCTGGTGGACATTTCTGCTCAGAATCTGCTTTTCTCTCTTGACCTTCTTGAGCTGAGGAAAGTATTTGGTTTTGGGGAACTTGATCTTGTTCTTTTTGGTTCGAAGACTTAACTGTCAGTTCATCATCGAATACTAATCTGCATCCCTTCCTCGTATGTGAGTGAGGGGGGCCGTTTTCTTTCTTGCCCAGCTTCGGTGGGGAACAGGGAGATAAATGAGGAGTGTTGCACAGATTGTCATCACCTGAGATGTTAAAACAGAACAGGGTCATTCACTGCAATGCTGTCAATCACCCGAAACACTAAATGCAAAGTGTAGTCCTTCACAGCGGAGGACAGTAAGAGGAAGTGAGTGCAAAGACTCTCCCATATCCAGAAAGAAAATCTTTCTTTTTTTCTTCTCCAGGTCTTTAAGAAAGGGTTTCTCTATATAGCCCTGGCTGGCCTTGAACTCAAGAGGGATCTGTTTGCTTCTGCCTTCAGAGTGCTGGGATTAAAAGGCAAGAGGTGAAGGAACCACAAGACACTTCTCACAAAGGAGCAAACATGGCCACCAGATGGCACAATTGCAATGAGACTGTAAGGTTATTTTAAAATGGGATTTATCACTAGCTGGTGGTGGTGTGTGACTTTAATCCCAGGACTCAGGAGAGCTGTGACACAGAAAAACCTTGTCTCAAAAAAAAAAAAAAAAAAAAAACCAAAAAACAAACAAAATAACCCTTACCAACCTGATACCACTGACATCTTGAGATGAATGACTTCCCTCTGTAGGAAGCTGCCGTGTGCAGCCACACTGTTGGCTTTTGCTCATTGTTCTAACAACATCCCCACAATTGTAACAGACTGAAATCTTCAGATATGTCCAGAGCACCCCACAGCATATGCTCTCCTACCACCATACTCAACTAGTATCTATCTACCTCTAATTATACTAAAGCTCTCAGACTGGCCATACATAGTTAAGTGGTACAGCACTTCCTAGCACAAACAAGGTCTTGCGTTCAACCCCCAACAGCACCATCAACACACTCAAGCCAAGTATGGCCTGGCGGTGGTCGTATGCATCTTTAATCCCAGCACTCACGAAGCAGAGGCAGGTGATCTGTGTTTGAGGCCAGCCTGGTGTACAGAGTTCCTGGATAGCCAAGGCAACACAGAGACATCCTGTCTTGAAAAAAACAAAACTAACCAACCAAAAAGCCAAGTATGGTTGAGGGAGAGAGACCTCAAGTTGAGGCAATTCTGGGCTACAAAATGAGTTCCAGGTCAGCCCAAGCTGGAGAATTTTTTCTCCAAAAAAAAAAAAAAAAAACATGGCTGGGCTTTGGTGGCACACGCCTTTAATCCCAGCACTCGGGAGGCAGAGGCAGGTGGATCTCTGTGAGTTCGAGGCCAGCCTGGTCTCCCGAGCGAGTGCCAGGATAGGCTCCACAGCTACACAGAGAAACCCTGTCTCGAAAAACCAAAACAAACAAACAACCAAAACAAAACAATGGAAATGTTAAGTACTATTTTAAAACAAAAATAAAAATTAAGAATACCATCTATTTGTTTCTCTTATTTTCACGAGTATGAAGGCAAACTTTATAATACCATATGTAACTTGAAGGTAATTTTAAAGGATGGAACTAATGAAATGAAGATCAGACTTATTATTTCTGTTAGTGAATGGCTTAACTGTGCACTTAGCAGCCATTATGACTCTAGCTAGAGCTTTGGTTTTAACTGCTAGGCCTCTGGCAGGAAGAAAGGAGAGGCCCGAGGGCAGTTAGTCACAAAGCTGGGCTAACAGAGTGGAAAGCTCACCCAGTCGTTTCCTGGGACTGAGAGGCAGAAGTTTCGTGTCCACACACGGAGCAGAAGGTACAGCCTGGGCCTTTTTAAGTTGTACTTTACTGATGCTGGAACTTGTTTTGCTCGCTGTCTTAGTCAACTTCTTTTTCGGAAAACTGATGGTAGCTTGTGCCTGGGATCGGGTTTGAGGCATGATGACCACACAACTGGATACAAAAGAGAAACAGGAAGCCTGTAATTTATGGAAGCAAAAAGAAAAACACACAGGGCTTATTTATATTGGTGACAACACTTAGTTCATAAATTATGTTAACAGTATTTTTAACACTTAGTTCTGCTTCCTATCCAAATCTTTTTAATAACAGGTAACATCTGTCTGCCTAGTATGTGTGACATGCCGTTATGCACATATTACTTCAGTCTTACCATAACTCAGATGTAGAAACTATGACTCTGCTCTTAAAGAGACAGTCATAGAAAAACATGGCTATTACCCCAGGCATCCTGAAACCAGAACCCAAGTCCTTACATTTGAGCGAGGTCAGAAGTTTACCTCCAGTGGTTTCTATAATTCTAGCTCTCCAGAGACGCGAGGCACATTTAGCACTAATTTAATTCCAGACCATAACATTTAGGCTCCCTCAGGGCCGGGCAGTGCAGCTCCTCCGTCCAGGTCTAGCCTGCACTCCACACAGCTCTCAACCCCACCCTCCGCCGCTTCCTCCTAGCAGTTCTCAGCTCCTTCCCACCATTCCAGGCTCGCTCTCCTTGCAGGCGCGCAACCCCCTCCCTGACCCTGCCTCAGACCTCAGGCGATCTCCGCTCTCCACAGGCCGCGCTCGAACCAGCCCCAACTCTCTGGGTCCCGGACCAAGTCTCCGGCCTCCCGGAGCAACCTGTTCCTTTACACTCTTCAGGGCTGTGTCGCCTCAGCGCACGTTTCTGTGTTTCGATCACAATCGCAAGGACTCTCCCGCCACTAGATGCACAGCGGCCGCAGTGAAGTCCGCTCGCGCCAAATCCTCACTGCCTCAGCGTTCTCGTCTCGCGCCAAAGTCCAGCCACGCTTCTGATTAGCTGTCACTAGTCACCACGCCTTCGCCGGTGACGACCCACAGCCAATAAGACAGCCCCAGGTCTCAGAGCCCAGAGTGAAGCCACACCCACTCGCCGGGGAGGGCGTTAACATCTGAGCCCTCCGCGGGAAAGGCGCGCTGGGGACTCTCTAGGTAAGCACGCCACGCCGCAAGGCTCGGCGGGAAGTGTAGTTTTTGCCCCCACTTAAACCTACTTCCGCAGTTTCATTTCTACTGGGTTATCTTTGTCTTCCCTCTCTGCCAAACGTATCCATTTTCCTGGGATATCTTTGCCTCCCTTCTCTTCCAAACGTAGCTATTTTTTGTTTGTTTGTTGGAGACAGGTTTTCTCTGTGTAACCACCCAGGCTGGCCTGACTCTGCCTCCCGTGCTGGGATTAAAGGGAGGGCCACCACTGCCTGCCCCGTACCTATTTTCATTATTAGGGCTGTTACTCAAGGCTTACTATTCGGGGGCGGTCCTGTAGGGCATGAAGCAGATGAATGCACAGGTTCACAGCATTCTCAGTGGCTACGGGCTGATGACTCGAACCAGGGTTTTTTTTTTTGGTCAAGCTCTAAACGTGTATTTGTTGACTTGCACTTCAAACTCGAGAAACAAGACCCAACAGTAAATGTGCAATTTCGTTTTGTTCAAATATATTGTGTGTGCCTTTTAAACATTAATCTAGCTACACATCGTAAGGAACAGAATTATGTCTCTTTAATTTGAGTATCTTTTATGGTCAAACACGGGTTTAGGGGCCAAGGAAGACAGTTACGGGAGCGGCAAGCTGAGCACTTAATGAAAAATATAAATTAGAGCAGTCATTTGCAGGCCAGGTTCCAAGGTTAATAACCCACCTCAGGTTTCTTTAAAGGCCAGAACCCAATTCTAGGCAATCGTAATTTTATGTTTGTTTGGTTTTGTTTTGAGACAGGGTTTCTCTGTGTAGCCCTAGCTGTCCTGGAACTCGATCTGTAGATTAGGTTGGCCTAGAACTTGGAGATCCTCCTGCATCTGCCTCCCAAGTGCTGGGGTCAAAGGAGTGTGCCACCACACCTTGCTGTAAAATGTATCTTTTATCCTCCCATATCAAATAAAAGACAGAAAGCTAGGAAGAGGAAAGCAACATCACAATCATTGGTTAACTCACCTCTTACCACGAGCCAGTGAGTCCCTGAGTGTGTAGGGGCTGAGTTATTGTCTTAATTAGTCTTTACAAGCACCCTAGGAAGTTGATAGGGAAACTAAAGCAGAGGGACTGAGTAAATTTGCTCTAGGTCATATAACTAGCATGTGGAAGAGCTGGTATTTATTTGCATTCTAAAGACAGAAGACCAAGGTCTTGACTACTCAATACTAGAGGATAAGAAAGGTGGGTTCTAAACAGGACATGATGGGTGAGGCGGTACATTTTGGTAAGGCTTTCTAGCAGCTAATTACTCCAAAAGAGATGGCTCAGTGTTAAGAGCACTGGCTGCTTTTCCAGAGGTCCTGAGTTCAATTCCCAGAAACCGTAAGGTGGCTCACAGCCATCCGTCAAGATCTGGTGCCCCCTTCTGGCCTGCACTTGCAGGCAGAACACTGTACATAATAAATAAATCAATCTTTAAAAACAACAACAAAAACTCCAAAAGAAAACAAGCTGCCATGCCTAGGGAAATACCATGGAAGGGAGGCTTTCAGAACAAACTGTTTCTCACTTATTAGGTCAATGTAACTTAAGAGACCACCTCTACTTGTCACAAGTTTGTAACTTGAGGACCTAAAACCTACCCACACCATCTGAAATAGAAATGTATTCGAGTAAGCTTCGGAGACAGCCCATGACCTACCTCAGTTACATGGGAGAGAGCAGGGAAGCTCTAAGTGCTTAATATGCACACTGCAGTCTAAGAGGGCACTCACTGGGTTTAAAAAAAAAAAAAAAAAAAAAAAAAAAGCACCAGCTCAAGAAAAGCCTGCAACAGTAAATGACCTCTGTGTAAGCAGAATGGCAGGACTAACCTGTAAAATGTTATCTGCTGAAGGCTTTTCCTCTAGTAACCTCACACACACATCAGTTCCTGTACCTTTGTACTCACTGTTTCCTGGTCAACTCCTATGAAACTCTTCCTGCACAGGTGCCTCCTGCTATGATCTACTAGACTACTTTGCCTTTGAAGGCACAAGACCATGTCTTAGCTGTCTTCGTGTGTAGAGTTCTGCTATAAAGTATATGATAGATAAACGCTTGCCAAATGAAGGGATGGAAATGACATTCTGTCGAGCTGATGTCCACTATTTGCATGAATGATTTTTATGGTTGAATAACATATATAGTCCTTTAAATCTCACAGCCATAAACCTAGTAGAATAAATCTAATTATGTATAAAAACAGTTCAGACTGGGCATCAGTGGTGTCAAAGGTGAAAGAAACCCTTCTTATATTATTCTCTGGAGGGGTCAGGATCCTGAGGTTGACATTTTAATCCTCTTACCATGGACATAGTATTGGGAAGCCAGAGAAAAGCAGCTTCCTCCCTTAAGGTAGAGTTCAGGGTCTGGGCCAGGAAACACTTAAGAGGCACGACCCCAGCACACACAGGGGGTGGCCTCAGTAATCACCAGTGAGCAAGGAGCAGGAATCACAGCACACTGGAAAGACCTGTCTGGCATCCTCTGAGTGTGTGTATAAGGGGACACACACAGACCAGCAAACCTGTCCCAGTGAGACATTTTATAGGGTTAGGAAGCCAAGGGCCATTTAAGCAAGCTCCATTTATTTGCAGGTTATTAAATTAGGAAGAACAATAAAATCAATAGTTTATTAATCATATTAATAACAACGATGGGTCAAATAATCAGGAACCCAGCCACTCTGGTATTAATCCTCCCCCCACAGGTTTTTCTATCTAGATTATGTGAGCTAGATCTATACACCCACCCATTTTAAGTCAGCAGGGAGGGGACTTGCACTCTGCCAGCAGGGATGCAAGTCAAGCTCAGTGGATTGGCTGGTTCCTGTCAGTTGACCAGTGACAAAGAAGCCTGGTTGGATTTTAACACCTAAAGTCAAAGTTCAAGAAAATCAGCTAAGAGCTCAGCTCAAAAAGCACTGAAGATGTGTTGTAACAGAACTTTGATCCCAGCCCTCAGGCAGGCAGAGGCAGGTGGATCTCTGTGAGTTCAAGGCCAGCCTGATCTACAAATTGAGTTCCAGGAGCTACACAGAGAAACCTTGTCTTGAAAGAACAACAACAACAACAACAAAAAAACAATAAAAAAAAAAGACACACTCAGTAATGACTATTTCTAGACTTGAAAATGGTGGTGGTACACACCTTTAATCCCAGCACTTGGGAGGCAGAGGCAGACTGATCTCTGAGTTCGAGGCCAGCCTGGTCTACAGAGTTCCATGGCAGCCAGAGCTACAGAGAAACCCTGTCTTGAAAAACGACCAAACAAAAAGCAGTAAAGAGAAACAGACAGCACCCTCATACAAATGGATTGAGATTCCAAAGACCCTGTCCCCGCACCCTTTCTCCTACTGTCTGGTTGAGAATTGGCCTCAAACCACAAGGGCAGGGGGACAGACTCAGAGAGGTCCCAAGGGATGAAACACAAGGACAGGGAGGCTCCAAGGCTCCTTGAGATCAAAGCAATGGGAGTTAAGCAGCAAATACAAAACAGAATCACTGGTCATCGGTGATTTCTAAGACACCCAGGCAGAGAAACCCCTCAGAGAGCTGCAGGTGCTTCTGCCATGCCCACCCATCCACACGTCCTTCCTTGGGGAACCTGGAATCCAACTGTCACACTTACCCAGAAGAAGAGATAATGGGTTTTCTCCACTCTCCTTGCCATCACTTGAGGCAGTATTACTCATGACAAAAATATACACACGTTTTCTTTTTTGCTTGTTTGTTTTTTGTTTTTAAGGTTTAATTAAACTGCACAGCATCCAGAAGAAAGAAATGTACCAAGGAATTCAACCTGAGACCAGATTATACATTTTATGTAGGGGACGAGGGATGCAGGGATCCCTGCTATTGTGGAGAAGCACTGAAACCAGAATAAAAAATCCAAAACAAATCACAAAATAAATTATTTTTTAAAGAAACTGATCCAAATGCAGATGATGGGGACACACACACACAGACACACCCACGCACACATCACTCTGGTCTTTTGTTCAGTGTTGACTGTAACTTCCAAGCTGGAAACTGTGGTAAAGGACAAAAACTAGACATGAAAAGAGAGGATGTGCTCCCTCTGCCACCAGGGGAGTAAGACTTAAGACAATCAGAGAAGAAACCCACCCAGCTGTAAGACACAAGAGCAGAAAGGAAACAGCAGTTATCAAGGAAGATTTTAATTACTTCATAGAGGGGGGGGAAGAAAGCACAGAAATCTAACACAAGTAAAGGCACAATGAACGTGGAGTTGAGTGGAACCGAACCCTTCCTTCAGTTAAATGGTTGTTGTTGGGTTTTTTGTTCTTGTTTTTGTTTCTGAATGTGATTTTGAGGGCGGTTATCATTTTATTTCATTTAAGAAATGAGTCTTAAAAGCAGAATTATAGTGGCCTCCTCTCTTCCCTCTCATTCCCTAAATTTGGGTGGCTTAACAGAGTCACCCTTACCACAGAACTAGGGACTGAAGTCACAGGGAGAGAAGAATGACAGCTGGAATGTGAAGAACCTGATTTGCAGCTGACTGTAGGTTTGGGTTTCCAGAAGCACAGACCGACCACACAGTATAGTGCTATCAGGGGCCTCTGACGCCCTACACTCCACCCACCCCAGAGCCCGACAGAAAGAAGGGCCCTAGAGTCACATTTCTGCCACACTCCCATAAGCACTCAGCCTACAGATTGTTTCAAGTGATCAGGAGAATTAAAACATACCCCAACCCTGAGTTGCTCTGTAGCACATCTATTTACAGTTATTTTTTTCTTCCTCCTCACCTCTCCCTGGAGGTAAATCTGGGTTTCAAGCTGGGAAGTCACTGGGTAAGGGGATTCCCCTAGTGCAATGCCAGTGACTAGTTTCCTGGGAAAGGGGGCAGGGACGAATTCCTGGCGATGACAGCCTCACATCCATCAGCTGGGATAGCCCTAGCTGCTCACACAATTGGCCTAGGCTGTGAAAATGGTAGGGCTCTGTAGCTGCGGTAAATCCACAGGAAAAAGCCACACCTGGAATATCGAAGTACTTTGGTCCAGGTTTGGTGACTAGAGAAAGGGAAAGAGGGGCATCTAGCTCATTGCAAAATCAGAGGCCATTGCCCAGCTTCAGGTAGGACAGTAAGAAACAGCTACTAGTGTTTCCTATTAGGGGAAAATCCCACAAAACCCACAGGAGAGCTGTTGACAAAGCTTCTTGCTGCTTTGCCGGGCAATGTCTCTTCTCTTTCTTTGGGAGGGGACAAGGGAATTAAAGGGATTAGGCTACAGCCTCAACGTGAGACCACCCAATCTTCCACTGAAGAGACCACATTCCCATAAGCAGATAAAAAAAAGCAGTTCCAAAGGGAAATTTTTCAGTGCTCTTGCAGCCCGCCCACCTTAAACCTGTATTACAAGCTTTGTACAACATACAAAATAGACCAACAGTTTGGAGGATCACAGTCCCATCTTCAGTAGCAAATATACACGGTAATAAATCTGTTTTTAAAGCAGGACCAATTGATGTATAAGGCAAAGACATTTAAATTAGGTGCTGTATCACCAACATGCTCTTATTCAGATCTAAACCCAGGTCTTTTTTGGTTGTTGTTCTATTAGGCAAAGACAATGAAAATATAACCAATACCCACATGACATAGTCCAAATCTGGGGACTATGAAGGACGCAGGTCATGTCGAGGAAGGTATCAGCCCCAGTGAAAAGCTGGGGTTTGGCTTTATTTGCTATATTATATATTCTGATGTTCTTTGATTCAGTAAGGGGAAATCTCTATACACTTTGATAACATTGTACAAAAGGCATCAACTCCCATTTCAAAAACAAATGGGAAGACTTCACAGTCAAAGTTCAGCAATTGGCATCTACCCTGGAACTCTTGCACGGTCAGATCTTCTCCCTCTCTCAGTTCTGTTCACATCAGGATGCTGGGGATACTCCTGGGAGGTGACTAAGGTATTTGAGAAGAAGAATGATAAACAGTGAACAATTAGAAGTCTAGTGACATCTAATCACTGCCTGTCCCAAGAGTCAAAGTGGTCCAGGAGATAAATGGCAGAGGGTAACACCCAATAAATAAATAAACCAAGTTAAGCCCACCTTCACCAGCACTGGAAGATTTGGGTTTCACCTGGCATCATGCACAGATCCTTAGCCTATGTTCCACTAGATTAGAAAGGTCCCTATGAACCGGGTGTGGTAGTGTACGACATTAATCCCAGTACCTGGGAGGCAGAGGCAGGTGGATCTCTGAGTTTGAGACCAGTCTGGTCTACAGAGCAAGTTCCAGGACAGCCGGGACTACATAGAGAAACCCTGTCTTAAAAAATAATAATAGTCATAACAACAACAACAATAATAAAGAAAAGAAAGGTCCCTATGACAGTTAAACCCTGTGACATATCTGAAGGTTTTTAACTAGCTTCCCCTAATCGATTCCAAGAACCACCTGGTCTCCCCATGGTCATGGAAGGTTTGAGCAGCCTTTGCCAAAGGCTATGACTATAGGAAACCAACTTTTCTGGTGTGTGGAGTCCCTGGTGCCCCACACTGCTGTCAGAGAAGAGACACTCACTGTCCAACAGACCAACCTCAGTTGAAACATCCATTTTTCTTGTGCTGTTTACCTACAACCTGGAAGACAAAGAACAATGTATTGCTGGCTGCCAAGGAAGACCCACTGATGGACTGAGGCATACCTCCCTAAGTCTTTGTGCTTCTTGGTTTAGAAGACTCTAAATGTGCCCTTTCTACTCTGTGGTCTTAGCCCCTGCAGTCTTGGGAAGGTAGGGTGGCAGAGAAAACAAGAAGAGCCTGCTGTGTCAGAGGGGTATGAGATGGGTACGAGCAAGCTGTCGAGACCTCTGCAGCCCCAGAGCCAGGCCCTCCCATCAAGTGCTTCCTTCTTGCCTTAGTCTCCCCAGAGCATTCTCCAAGGCTGAAGGACTCTAAAGGCTGCTGACCACTTCAGGGTTAATCAGACAGAACTGAGGCTGATTTAAGATTGAGGTTAAGGTCCTCATCCCCTCTTTTCATCTCTTAGAGGAAGTTTCTGGAGTTTCTGAATTGGGAATGTGAATAATGCACCCAACAAAAAGCAACTCTTCCCTTGAGGGACTGGGAAAGGACGTCCTTCAGCCTAGCACCCCGGGGAAGGGCCGAGGGTCCCAGGGAGTTCAGAAGGCCCTGGCCCCTTAGTTGCAGAAGAGCTGACTAGCTCTGGAATGATCCTCAGTTTACCTCATCCCCTTCTTTTATTGTTTAGTTCAACTGATTAGTATTTAGTGTATGTACAACTCACCCCTCGGAATGGGTAGAAGAAAGTTAAGAACAAAACCAAAACGCTCTTAAGAATGAAGAAGCTCCATTTCCTTGTCCTTTCTATAACCTGACCTTTAAAACAGATCACTTCTCTGCAAACCCCCTCCCTGCTTCACAAAAAGTACCCTTTCCTCAGCAGTCCTGGCCACACCAACCTCCTAAACTATGGAATATAAACACACAACACACTCCCCCCTTGGTGAGTAATGGCAGACAGGGGTCCATTCTCCACCCTGCCCAACATGAGTCCATTCACCATAACAAGGCACCTTTCCCTGGAAGAAAGCAGGAGACATGGAGCTTTCTCCTCTTCTGGCTAGCAGGGCTTGCTGGAAGAGGTCTGGATACAGGGTTTGAGACCCTGTTGCCAACAGAAAGAATCCAATCACCAAGTCCAGAGATGAGATGCATAGATGGAGCTGGGCCGGGAGGATGCTTAGAGTCTAGGGTTGGTCGCACTGGAGAAACACTGTAGGAGCTCTCATGCAGGTTCTAGGGTTGGGGGGACCATCTGAGAAGAGGAGGTCCATCTTTTTCCTGAGGAGCAGGAACAAGCTAGGCTTCACCTGAGAATAGGTGGCAGAGGTGGGGCTCCACGGGCAGCTGGAGAAATAAGAACCATAGATATTCAGCTCACATACCAGACCTCTGAAATGAGACAGGCTCCTTACATTAATTTTTAACATCGGGGACTAGGGCTGAAGAGACAGCTTGCTAGGGAGTACTTGCTGCCAGGCCTGCTGACCCGAGCTGAATCCCCAAGCTAGATCCACTTGGTGGAAGGAAGGCGAGAACTACCTCTTGCTGCCCTCTCCATGTGCAGAAGCCCATTGTGACCCCAGAAAATATACCAATTCTGTGCTGCACACACTCATGGACACTGTCTTCACCCCCTCGCACCTCGGTTTGTTTTGCTGGGGTATACTCTTTGAAGATGCTTATATTCTTCGGGAGCAGGGAAGTCCTCTACTGGGTGGAAGGAGTACTTGGACTCAAAATCATCTGTGAAGAAAAGAGAAGAGTATTGTCATGGCTCCCACAGACTTCTTAGGACCCTCCCTATTTACTAATCTCCTGTGGGTTCTGCTGTATGGAGAGCCTGCTTTCCCCACCAAACCAAAGTTCCCGAGACAACAAAAGCATCACCCTGGGTGCCTCTAATGTACAATGCATCTCCAAAGATCCTTTATCTGGGGGCTGGGGAGGTGGCATGGTCAACATGGTGCTTGTGCAAGTATAAGGACCTGAGTCTGGATCCCCAGCACCCATGTAAAAGGCTGGGTGTGGTGACAGGAGCCTGTAACTGAGGGTTGTGGAGGCAGAGATCAGGGGATCACTGGAACCTGCTGGCCAGCCAGCCAGACCAATTGTGGAGCTCCAGATTCATTCAGACATCTTATCTCAGAAAACAGGGTAGAGAGCAATTAAGAAAGACACCTAATGTTGACCTCTGGCCTCCATAACCACTTGGACACATACATATGCACACATACATCTGCACATGTGAACATATATATATACAGAGGAAGAAATTTAATTCTTTCAAATTGTGTGGGTGTGTGTATGTGTATGGGTGTTTTGTCTAGATGTACGTTTATATACCATGTGCATGCAGCACCCACAGAAGCTATAGGAAGGTATCAGATTTCCTGAGACAGAATTACAGACTGTTTGTAGAGACCCCATGTTGGTGCTGGGAATTGAACCTGAGTCCTCTGAAAATGTAGCGAATACCTTTAACTACTCAGCTATCTCTCCAGCCCCTTTCTGTGCTGGATAGTTTTTTGTTTTTTTTGTTTGTTTTTGTTTTTTGAGACAGGGTTTCTCTGTGGCTTTGGAGGCTGTCCTGGAACTAGCTCTTGTAGACCAGGCTGGTCTCGAACTCACAGAGATCGGCCTGCCTCTGCCTCCTGAGTGCTGGGATTAACGGTGTGAGACCACCTGGCCGGATAGTTTTATGCTAACTTGACACAAGGTAGAGTTATCTGAAAGGAGGAAACCTCAATTGACAAAGTATCACCATAAAATCTGGCTATAGGGCATTTTCTTAATTAGCAATTAATGGGGGATGGTTCAACCCATTGTGGGTAGTGCTATCCCTGCACTGTGATCCTGGGTTCTATACGCAGGCTGAGCAAGCCATGGGTAGAGCCAGTAAGCAGCATCCTCCATGGCTTCTGCATCAGCTCCTGCTTCCAGGATCCTATCCTGTTTGAGTTCCTGTCCTGACTTCCTTCAAGCAATATGAAAGTGTAAGCCAAATAAACCCTTTCCTCCCCAACTTGTTTTTTGTTCATCTCAGTAATAGAAACCCAAATTAAAGCAACTTACTATTATTATTACTTTTAAGACAGGGTTTCTTTGTATAGACCTGGCTATTGTAGAACTCACTCTGGCCTAAAACTCAAAGAGATCTGCCTGCCTCTGTCTCCCAAGTGCTTTGGATTAAAGGCATGTGTCTGTTTTGAGACAGGGTCTCACTATGTAGCCTTCACTAACCTCGAACTATGAGACCAGGATGGTCTCAGACAGAGAAAGATCTGCTTGTCTCTGCCTCCAGAGTGCTGGATCAAGGTGTGTGCCCATGACCAGAACCAGTACCCAACCCTTTAAAGTTCCTAATGTAAAAGAGTCCCAGCCTGACTCTTTACATCTTTCCACCAAAATTCAGACACTATGGGAAAGGAGCACCATTATGTATGCAAGCAGAAAGAAGCATTGCTTTGCTCCAGAAACAAGGTGGGTTTAAAAGACTATTTCTATAGGAAATGAACGAGGTGGTAGTTGTTAACCTCAAATGGGAATATGTGCCTCTAGCTAGTGATTGTTTTACCCAGAAAAATTTTCTTTCAGACTTGGTTACCCCATATTGTTCTACAACACAGTTCAGCCAGTGATGTCTTGCTCCACTACTGCCTGTGACCACTTTATAAGATTCAAAAAGTCTTATGGGTATGGCCTGATCACACTTCAAGAGTTCTTTTTTTATTCAAAGCTTTCTCTCTTGTTTATCTAGGGTCTTGCTATGTATTTCAGACTGGTTTTGAATTTAAGATTCTCCTGTGTCAGCTAAACCATGTGCTGGGGTTACAGACAGGTGCCACCATGCCCCACTACATCCAAAGGTTTCTGCAATAAGAATGTATGTTCAAGCCAGGAGTTGGTGACGCACGCCTTTAATCCCAGCACTCGGGAGGCAGAGGCAGGAGGATCTCTGTGAGTTCGAGGCCAGCCTGGTCTCCAGAGTGAGTGCCAGGATAGGCTCCAAAGCTACACAGAGAAACCATGTCTTGAAAAACCAAAATGTTCAAAGCAAACCCTAGTGCGTTTGTTAAGAACAGGTTGGACTGTGTCGGGGTAGTAATGGAGGAGCATCCACTGAAAAACCTAGAGTATAGAGTATCAAGAGTTTCAAGAGACCTCATGGTCTACTCCACAGGTCTTCAACAGAGGCCTGACAACATCTCTGACAACTTTTACACATGGCTCCATTCTAGACCATGAGGTGAATCCTCTTAAGTAGAGACCTCAACATTTATAAGCTTGGAAAAGTTGATCAATATGCTCCTGACCTAGTCTATTTCCCAGTTCTATACATAATAAAGTTGAGTTCAAAGAAATGAAATGACTTCCTCAAAAAACATAGCTGACTCGCCACTGACCTTTGTTTTTGTAGTGCTGGGGCTCACACTAAGGTTCTCTGTCACCTAAGCTTGCTTGGCTTTCTGTGCTGTGGGATCGAACCCATGACTTTGCACATGTTAGGCTAGTGCTGTATCTCTGAGCTTCACCCCAAGCCTCTTGAGTTTTTATGTAAGCAGGAAGGAACTCTCCTCCTTGGATACATAATTCTAGGACACATGTGAATACAGAGCACATTCTCTGTGACTCTTGTGGGGACTTGAGAGTAGCTTTAGTATTGGCATGACCTCTGATAATGTGATTTTAATCTGTTCATGTAAGGAAAGGAATGTCAATGGATTGGACACAGGAGTCCAAGGAAAAGTTAGGAGGGGAACTGCTATGAACAAACACTACTTCCCTAGGCTACTCTCCATCTACAGGAGCCATCTGGCAACTAAGGCACCAGTCCATGAAGTCACCACCGGAGCTGTGACACAAAGTCACTAACTACTAGCCGTGCAGTGGTGGTGCACACTTTTAATTCGAGCACTTGAGAGGCAGAGGCAGGCAGATCTCTATGTATTCAAGGTCAGCCTGGTCTACAGAATGAGTTCTAGGACAGCCAGTGCTACACAGTGAAATCTTTTCTTGAAACAAACAAATCACTACTTACCCAAGAAGGAACGAACAGTGGTGATGGAGTCTCTATGGCCATTCCTCAAGGGGGGTGGTGGAGGAGGGGGTGGCCCAGCTGGCGTCCTTGAGGGTGGAGGTGGAGGCTTTCCTCTGCTCGGTGGTTCTGACCCATGCATTCGGTAAGGTGGTGGGGGAGGGGGAGCATCCCTGGCACCATTTCGGACCATGGGTGGTGGAGGTGGAGGAGCTGCAATTAAATTCCAAAGCAGTTAGGCTTGGGCTGGAGCTGGCAAAGGAAAGGGTTTGAGAGACACAAGCTAAGAAACCAGCCTGGGGGAGGCTAGTGAGGGAGCAAATGTGAGAAATGAGACAGATGTACAGAAATGTTGTGATGAAATTCATTGTTTTATACACCGACTATAAAAAAATCATAGAATGCCAGGCATTAGTGGCAGACGTCTTTACAGCATTCAGGAGGCAGAGGCAGGTGGATCTCTGAGTTCGAGGCCAGTCTGGTGAGTTCCAGGACAGCCAGGGCCTCACAGAGGAACCCTGTCATCACAGGAAGGGAGAATCAGACTCTGCCTGGGGTGATGAGTGAGTCTCGGTAGATTACTTTTCCTACCCAGAGCGGTGGCTGCTTTCCCGCCACATTTGTTTGTTTACTTTTGGTCCGATGGGTGTTTTTTGTGTTTTGTTTGTTTTCCGAGACAGGGTTTCTCTGTGTAGCTTTGGAGCCTATCCTGGCACTCGCTCTGTAGACCAGGCTGGCCTTGAACTCACAGAGATCCGCTTGCCTCTGTCTCCCGAGTGCTGGGATTAAAAGGCATGCACCACCAACACCCGCCTGGGTGGTTTTTTTTTTTTTTCCCTTCTTTTTTTTAAAATGGTGCTTATCTACTTATTTATTTATTTGTTTGTTTGCATAACAAAACAGTGTTTCTCAGTGTAGCTCAGCTATCCTGGAACTCATTCTGTAGACCAGGCTGGTCTTGAACTTGCTGCTTCCTGCTCAGCCTCCATAGAAACAAATATACATTATCATATAATACTGTCATAATGTGATTTAACAGAAATAAGTCCATGAATTACTTAGACACCCTTTACATAAAACAAGTTCATCAAACAAACAAACAAACAAAAAACAAAAAACCCTCAACTCAAGAGACATTTGCCCAATGTTACACAACAAACAAAGCCACTACTCAAAAGACTTAGGCTACTCAGGACTGGTGCTCTGGTTACTGAGAGGGGCAGCGGGCTGAGGCCTCTCCTTGGCTCATGTTGCTCATGGCTACTGGGCAGAATACAACTCATAACATGAAAAGTAGGCAATCTGCAGACCCTTGAACTACTCACCTCAACCCACATATCAAATCTGTTTCCTATTACAGAATGGGATTAGAAAGACAAGGGACTGCTCACATTCAGAGTCCTTTAAGGTGGGCTGGAGAGATGGCTCAGCAGCAAAGAGCACTGGCTGCTCTTTCAGAGGAGCTGATTTCAATTCCCAGCACTCAATGTGGCAGCTCATACCTGTCTGTAATATCAATCTAGGGAATCTGACACCCTCACCCAGACATACATGCAGGCAAAACACCAACACATACATACACACACACACACACACACACACACACACACACAGATGTGACTTTAAAAACAAATACTTTTAAAATCTCCAAGTTAAAAACTTCTATTTTTTTAATTTACTTATGTGTATGTGTATTTCTCTGCATGTGTGTACGAACCATATGCATGCCTAGTGCCAGCAGGGATCAGAAAAGAGTATTCATTTTCCCCTGGAACTGGGTGCAGGGAACTGAACATGGATCCTCTGGAAGAGCAGCCAGCACTCAACTACTGAGCCATCTCTCTAGCTGTATCCCCACCTGTCCCATGCAATTTTTTTCTTTAAACCTGAACTTTGTCGAATCCTGAGCTATCTTATGGCTGTAGGCAGGGACTGCCATGCCATCAATGTTATCAGGTTGTTGTCTGGGGTGCCCTCTAAAAGACTGCTACTGAGTGTGTAAATCTACATGCAACATAACCAAGCAACAAGCCTGGGGATGGACTTTTTATTTCTTAATTTGTATTTATTTTCATTTATGGGTATGTGTGGGTGCACAGGTGCCCAAGGAAGCCAGAGAGGGCAACAGATCCCTTGGAACTGCAGTTACAGGAGGTTGTGAGTTGCTGTGATATGGGTGCTGGGAGCTAAGCCCAGGTCTTCAGGAAAAGCAGCAAGTGCTCTGGCAACCATTCTATTTGCATACAGACACACCCAACTAGGCCTTTACCAAGGTTCCTACATTGCTTCCCTAGATGTTCTTTTCTCGTTTCAGCCACACAGTCTCCCTATGTAGCCCAAGCTAGGCTCAAACTCCTGTGGCTCAAGCCAGTCTCCTGCTTCTGCCTCCAACACAGCTGGCACCCATTCCTGAATTCTTGAACCTATCCCAATTTGCTTCCTCTTTCAACTACCATTTCCCGCCAATGCTGCACAGAAGGGTCCCTGATGCTCAGTCCACTGTCAGTCCTGTGTCCCACTGACCTTTCTGCAGCACTGCACACAGAGGACCACTTCCTTTATCTTGGAGTTTTTCTGCCACTTTAACAAGCCCATGGGGTTTTTGTTTTGTTTTCTTGCTTTTTAAAATTTTCATTATTTTATGTGCATGGGTGTTTTGGTTACATGTATACCAGTGCACCATGTGTGTGCCTGATGCCCTTGGAGACCAGAAGAGAGCATCAGATCTCTTGAAACTGATGTTACAGACAGTTGTGAGTCAATGTGTGGGTGCTGGGAAACCAACCCAGGACCTCTGGAAGAGCAGTTAGTGCTCTTAACCATTGAGCCATCAACTCTCCAGCCACCAAGCATGTATTTTTTTTTGCTGTTGTTGTTTGCTTGTTTTTTGGTTCTTTGACAGGGTTTCCCTAGCTGTCCTGGACTCACTTCTTAGAGTAGGCTGGCCTCAAAGTCACAGAGATCCACCTGCCTCTGCCTCCCGAGTGCTGAGATTAAAGGCACGTCACACTATGCCTGGCTAGCATGTGTTTTTTGTTTGTTTTTAATTAAAATTTATTTAGAGCCAGGTATGTTAGTGCACACCTTTGATCCTGGCATCACGGGACACAGGCAGATGGATCTCTGTGAGTTCAAGGCTAGTCTGGTCTACATAGCAAGTCCCAGACCAGCCAAGGAAATATATAGAGACCCTGTCTCAAAAACAAAACAATACACTGGGTGTAATATTAGTTCAGTTCAAGTCTTTGCAAAGTCCTAAATGTTCTCCCAAGGAAGATCTAGCTCTCCCACCGTCACTCCTGCAGCCCCCACTCCTCCCTCCCACTCATTCTAGTTCTTTTCTTTCTTTTTTTTTTTTCTTTTTTTTTTTTTTCTTTTTTTGAGACAGGGTTTCTCTGTGTAGCTTTGGAGCCTATCCTGGCACTCGCTCTGGAGACCAGGCTGGCCTCAAACTCACAGAGATCCGCCTGCCTCTGCCTCCCGAGTGCTGGGATTAAAGGCGTGCGCCACCCATGCCCGGCATTCTAGTTCTTTTCAATGAGCTCCCTGCTGTCCTGTGTTATGAATGTTCCTTCTCAGATCACCTTCTCCTCCCCCTCCTCCTCACTGTCACCATAGAATCTTTTCTCACTCTAACCTCTTCCCCCAATTCAAAACACCAGCATCCTTTCCCTAGTATATTCTTAGCTGGTTTGCATTTCTTTAAATGTACTGTATGCCATTATTGATATATATATATGTACTAGGTTGTCCACAACAAGTTTTTTATCAGTTCCCTAACAATTACCAACATATAAAAAGGCACCCAATAAACTGGGTGAATACATGAATTCCTATTCTAATCACTGAAGAGATCTCTCAGAAAAAGTGAAGAGGAAAAAAAAGCTTCTAAACACTTACCTGCTCCCCTACTAGGAGGGTCTCGGGCTGGGGGAGGTGGCCTGTTACTCAACAAAAAGGGGGAGGCTGAGGTGGGTGGAGGAGGTGCAAGGCCTCTGACGGGCCCAGGTGTCTTCCTATGCAAAGAATTGTGTCTTTGTGGCAGCTCAGGAGCTGACTCATTAGTGGGGCTTGAGGGCCCATTGGGTACCCCAGGCGGCTGGCGGTAAGGCGGTGGGGGAGGAGCCAAAGACTGGCCACTTGGTCCCGATCTGATATTCACAGGGGAAGGAGGTGGTTTTACAGGGGGTGGAGCAGGATGTCCTTCTCGACTGGGGTGCAGCCTTTGTCCAGGTGTTGGAGGCAAGGGTTTCTCCCTGTTGTAGGCCTGGGCTTTGCTGTTGTGCAGAGGCAGAGGAGTTGGGGGCGCATTAGCACGCCGCCCTGGGGGTGGTGGGGGAGGAGCAGAGGAGCTGTGTTTCATGCCTGTACCGCTAGTGGTATTGGGTCGAGAGAGGTCCGGTAAAGAGGGTCTCTGCATCCGGGGCAGTTCTGGCAGGGAAGCTCGGCTACTGTCGCTATCATCTTGAGGACGCCCACCGGCTGTAGACACTGGAGGCCTTGGAGCAGCAGCTCGAGAACTGGGGACTTGCAGGGCTGTCTTACCAGCTAGAGTCTCTACAAATACACCAGACAACACTGTGTTAACAGTCAAGTGTGTATTGGTCAGTTGTCTGCTCAACCCAGCCTCCTCAGTGCGCCTTGCACAACAGCTGAGAAAGTATCAGCAGTTCTTGGGTGTTTACCTTCCTGTGGCCCTGGGATCAAGCTCAGAGCCTCATGTAGGCAAAGCACTTGCTCTACTACTGAGCTACATCGTTAGCCCTAGTTCTGAGTTTTAATCAGGTTTTCAGACTCAGGGCCTGTTGACATAAGCTGAACACATTTGAACTGAACTATTTTTATTTTACTTTTTATTTATTTTTGGGGGGGTGCCTATGTAGCCCTGGCTGTCCTGGAACTCTTCTGCAGAGGAGTGCTAGGGACTGAACTCAGGTCTTCATACATACTTAGCAAGCCTTCAATTCATTGAGCTATAACCCAGAACTTAAAATCTTTGTTTCTTTAAGGCTGGCTCTCATTCTTGTGGTTCAGTCTGGCCTCAAACTTGTGATTTTCCTGCCTCGGTCCTGCAAGTGGGATTGCACTCACACACAACAGCAGCTCATATTTTCTTTACCTAAAGTTAAACACATTTTTATTTACCCTCAGCTTTGCAACTATTCTTGTTCCTCCTTCCTCCCACCCTGAACCCCAGTATTCAACCTAAGACAGCACACCTGAAGCAAGTCAAAAACACAGACACAGTTGGGAGATACCCCAAGAGATAATCTCAGATACCTGAAGCATCCTTGGCTCCTACAGGCCGCAGCTTCGGTACTCCTCCTTGAAAGAGACCTCCCTTGGGTTGCAAAGCAGCAGCTCCAGGGCCATAACCACCACCACTCCCTTTGGGCTCTGGAAGGCATAAGGAAGGTTTTCATTTCCCATGCTCTGAGCTGCTGACCAAGTCAAGTCTGAGAAGAAACAATTCCTTCCTCCATCTAGGCTCTAGTTTACAATCTTGCTTTAGCCTCTCTATCAAGAAGCGGCAGCAACAGCAGCAGCACTACCACTAAACACACAAACAAACCCAACAACACCTAGGCCTTGCAGCTGCACACATTCAGGCAAAGATTATTACAGAAAACAAGCGAACTAAGGGGCAAAGGGCAGGAGGACCATTTTTATTTAGTGTGAGGAGAACAACTCAATTGAAACAGACATGTTTGACATCGTTCTCTGGGCTCTCTTCCCCATTAGGCCAGTGGCTCAGGGGGATGAAGTGTGAACAGACTTTTCTGAGGCCTACAAGAATGGACATGTACAGCAACTGTAAATCCATCCTTGGTTTCAGACGCTTCTAGGAATGTGGTAGTCTCCTGACAGAATAGCCACCGTGTGCCCTGAAAAACACTACTAGCAGCAAGGGAGGAGTTTTAACCCTAGAAAGAGTTAAGGAGAACCTTTGTAACATTCAACTCTACAGCTGGAAGGAAAGTCAAGATACCCAGGACACACTGAAGAGAACACAAAAAATGTGATGGTCCAGGGGTCCTCTAATCCTGGACGCTGACTCTACCCTAGGACAAAAGCTTATACTCACTCTCAATGACAGGAGCACTCCGATCATTAATGTTGGTCACCTTCTTCAATTTGGTCCCTTTGCAAATGTCTTGTAAGAGGGCCCCTCGGTTCCGCTGCTCATCTCTGCTGAGTTTGGGCTGTTCTGTGTTTGCCTGGAGGAAGAAGGAAATGTGTTAAGTCTACCCCAAAAGAGCTCTTTTCATCACAAGCTTGGAATAAATGACTTAAGCCAAGGGATTCCATAAGATGCCTAGGCACTTATTCAGACACGTGTGCCAAGTGCACCAACATTCTTCAGCATCCTGCTCCCTTCTGTGAAGGACACAGAACTCCCTCCTATTCACAAGCTTCTGAGAGGAGGGCAAGACTAACTGGGGAATTTGTGTCTTGGACACATTAACATGGCACCACCAGCAGCATAAGCTTTTACTGGGCACCCATTATGACTCAGGCATTGTGCTAAGCATGACCTAGATTACCTCATTAAACCCTGAAATACTCCTACCGAAAGGTATCATTATCATTATCCACATTTGAAAAGTGTGGATCAGAAGCTGAATAGTTTCCGATGGTCCTGCGATTATAATTGGTCAAACAAGAATGTGAATGCAAGCCGGACGTTGGTGGTGCACGCCTTTAATCCCAGCACTCGGGAGGCAGAGGCAAGCAGATTTCTTTGAGTTCAAGGCCAGCCTGGTCTCCAAAGTGAGTGCCAGGATAGGCTCCATACATAGCTACACAGAGAAACCCTGTCTCGAAAAAGAAAAAAAAAAAAAGAATGCACACCACAACGCTGACTGACTCTGCAGAATCTTATCCCAGTGTGATCTGCTACCTTCCTATTTCTTTGTCTTCTACAATGTTATACAGTAGACCTTGTAGCCCTACTCCAAATCTGAGGAAATAATGGTTCTAGAAAGTTAAGGGCACATGATTAGCAAATGCTGGAAACATTTTTTGTTTGTTTTGTTTTTCAAGACAGGGTTTCTCTGTAGCTTTGGAGCCTGTCCTGGAACTCACTCTGTAGACCAGGCTGGCCTTGAACTCACAGAGACCTGCCTACCTCTGCCTCCTGACTGCTGGGAGTAAAGGTGTGCACCACTAACACCCAGTTGGAACCAATTATTTTAAAATTTTTTTTAAAGATTTATTTATTTATTATGTATCCAACATTCTGCTTCCATGTACATCTGCACATCAGAAGAGGGCACCAGATCTCATAACAAATGGTTGCAAGCCACCATGTGGTTGCTGGGAATTGAACTCAGGACCTCTGGAAGAGCTTTTAACCTCTGAGTCATCTCTCCAGCCCCTGGGACCAATTTTTTAAACTTCAAAATGTTATTTGTCATTATTGTGTGTGCCCGTATTGAATGTTCAGAGGTCAGAGGACAACTTTCCCAAGCTGGTTCTCCCCTTCCACTTTGGGGTCTGGAGAGTGAACTCAGGTGGTCAGGTTTGCACAGCCTGTGTAGCCCTGACTGTCCTAGAACTCACCCTGTAGACCAAGCTGGCCTCGAACTCAGAGATCTGCCTGCCTCTGCCTCCACAGTGTTGGGATTAAAGTTATGCGTGGAGTTGGAAAGATGGCTCAGGAGTTAAAAGTGGCAACTAGTCTTTTGGAGGGACCCCCAGCACCCACATGCAGCTTACAACTGTCTATAATCCCAGTCTGGGGAATCCAGTGCCTCAGATGTCTGCAGGCAATTGCACATACCCACATATAAACACATAATTAAAACTAAAAAGAATCCTTTTAAAAAAGACTTAATTATTTTTATTTAAGGTATGTGAGTGTTTTGCCTGTATGTGTATATATGTTTTGCCGGTATGTATGTGCATTACTTGTGTACTCAATGAGGTACAACTAGGGTTATAAGTCATTATGAGTCACCATGTGGATGCTAGAAACTGAATTTTTTTTTTTTTTGATAGAGTGTAAAACATAATAGACTTGGCTTTAAAATGGACTGGAGGGGCTGCAGAGATAGTTCAATGGTTAAAAGCACTGACTGCTCTTCTAGAGGACCTGGGTTCAATTCCCAACACCCACATGGCAACTCACAACTGTCTGTAACTCCAGTTCTAGGGGACCCCACACCCATGACAAAGCATCAATGCACATAAAATAAAAATCAATTTACAAAATGAACTGGAGCTGGAAAAAGAGCACTTGCTGATGCTCCAGAGGACCTGGGTTCAATCTTTGCTCCCACATGGCAGCTCATTATCTATAATTCCGTTCTAAGGGATCTATCTTGATAGTTCTCCTGGCCTCCAAGGACACCAGGCACTCACATGGTACACAGATACATGCAGGCAAAACACCTATACACATAAAATAAAACAATAACAAAAATTTAATGAGCTGACTGGGAGTAGGAGAGGAGATGAAATAATGGTAGCAGGAAAATACCACCTCAACTCCTCATCCCCTCTCTCTCAAGGATGTCAGAGAAATGAGACTAACCTATTTGTAGGACAGGTAGCTTAGGTAGAAACCCTAGCTCCATGTATCCAAATCTCCATTTGGAATGAAGACAGACAGGGAACAAAATATGTCAGTGTGTTCCTCTGAGGACTTTTCAGAAGTTCAAACTAACTGAGTCACAGGGTTGTGTGTTTTCTGCTTGCTACACTGCCTACTATTAAGTCTGTCTCCTAAATAAATCTGCAAGACCAGAGTGCAGTTGGGCAGCTACTCAGGCCTACAATCCAGAAGGCATGCAGAAGGCAGAGAAAGAAAGATCACACTGCACGTTAGAAGCCAGTCTGACCTACATAGCAAGCTCTTGGCCAGTCACACAGCAAGATCCTGTCTCAAAATGCTAGTTAAAGTTCAAATATATATTAAAATTATAGATAGTATTTAAAGCTATTAGTGGACATGGTTATCTCATATCTGTAATCCCAGCACTTGGGGGAATGAGGCAAGAGAACCTAAAGTTTAAGGCCAGCCTGGACCACACAGCAAGATCCCACTACAAACAGAGGGGTAGGTGCTGGAAGCTGGCTCAATAGTTAAGAGCATTTGCTGCTCTTCCAGAGGACCCAGGTTCAGTTCCCAGCACCCATGTCTGGCCAGACAGCTGCTTCTCACTCCAATTCTAGAGGAACCGGAAGCCCTCTCCTGCCTCCTGCATGTTTGCCTACATACATGCAGGCAAAACACTCATACATGTAAATATAAAAGAAATAGGGGCTGGAGAGATGGCTCAGCAGTTAAGAGCACTGGCTATTCTTCCAGAGGACCTGGGTTCAATTCCCAGCACCCACATGGCAGCTCACAACTGTCTGTAACTCCAGTTCCGGGGGATCTGCACCTTTAAACCAATACACATAAAAAAATAAAGTTAAATAAAATTTAAAAAAAGAAATAAAAAAATAGAACTTCAGAGCAAGCTCAGAGTAAAAGAGTGGTTAGGGAAGAAAATCTAGAAGTTTTAAAGGACTGAAAAGGAAAAAAAACAAAACAGTATGAGAAGTCTACCAATTTACTTAAAGGTTTGAAGATAGCCTAGTGGAGAAATTACTTACCTGATTAAAAGTGGGAGGTGGGGGAGGACCAGGCGGGGGTGGGGGGGGAGGAGGGATTGGCATCCTTGCCCTGCTCCCAGTTGGCACCGTTCTCTCCCCGTCTTTATTTGCAGCTTTAGGTCATTCATATACCTGCAAACAAAACCAAAGTTCAAAAGAACAGCTTTTTGTTCTTTTGTAATCAGAGGCTCACCATGCCCAGGAGGTCCAGAGGACTGGACAGGGACCTGAGACCCTGAGTACTTCATCCTCTTCATAAACACTCTCTGTGAAGCACCAACTTACAGTCTCCTTTTGTACATTATTTTTTGTTTTGCAGAAGTGGGAATCAGACCCAGGGCCTCAAGTGGGCTAAGCATGGGCTTCATCACTGAGCTCTACTCCCAAACCAACTAAAAACAAACAACAAAAAAGTCTTCATATTTTAGAAGTTCTAGGTTCACAGCAAAAGTGAACAAGTACCATAAGTTTCCATGCATGCATCTCGCCCTACAGTGTGACTGCTGGATCATGCTCCAAGAGTATGTGTGACTCTTTAAGAAGCTGCCAAACTTCTTCAAAAGTGGCTCTACCCATTTTTGGTTTGCACCAGCAATGAAGAACTCCGCTGCTCCCATCTCTGCTGCACCCGATGCTGTCAGTTCAGAGTTTGGTGACTCTAGTAGCTTGCTTTAATTTGCAGTTCCCACAGGACCTCGTGCTGATTGTGTTCTTCTTGCCACGTGTGTATCTTCCTGGCTGAGGTGTCTATTTAGATCTTTTGACTTTGGGGTCAATGGTGCTGGGGTTTGAAGGTGTGGTAAGCTCACATTCTACCAATGAACCATTCACAATCCTAGCCTTCCTTTTCTTTCTTTCTTTCTTTTTTTTTCAATTAGACTTTTCATTTTACTGTTGGATTCAAGAACTCTAGTGAAATATTTTCTTCCAGTTTGTGGCCAGCCTTCTCATTCTCTTAATTTTTTATAGCCTTTTAAGAATATAAAATCATTCTCAGTTTGTGAGGCATTCGAAAACAAGCTGTAGATCAGATTTGACTCATAGGCCAGAGTTCACCTGTACCTGGCAATGGGACACCCATGGGACTTGATTAGAGAATAAATACCACACAAGAAATTGCCTACTGACTTGGTCCCACAATACCTAGCATTTGAAACCTACAGCTATCTGCCCATTGCAATTTGCTTCATTTCAGACAGAACTGAAATTAGGGAACTGACTGATGTAGGACATTAAACCAGCTAAAGATATAAGCAGAGCTCAAGAACAGAAAGTCCTCTAAAGCTTGGTCCCAAGAAAATCTCCTTTCTTGATCTCTAAAAATGGAAGCCAAAATAACACAGGCACCATGGATGCAACTCAGACAGGAAAGATATAAAATAAAGGGCTGGAGAGCTAGCTCAGCAACTAAGAGCACTGGCTGCCTTTGCAGCTCCCCCACAGGGCTGAGCACAACAGCTGTAACTCCAGTCCCAGGGAATTCAATGCCCTCTTGTGGCTTCCACAGGCACCCACACCCATGTGGCACACAGACACACAGAAACAAAAGTAAAAAATTAAAAAAAAAAAAAAAAAAAAAAATCAAAATAAGATCAATTAGTCAGTGTGCAGAGGAACAGCCTTTAAACAAAGCAACTAATGTGATCAAGGCTCAAGGAGATTCTCAGTAGCCCACAGTACAGAGGGGAGACCATGTGTACCAAGCATAACCTAAAAGTCAAGTTAGCGTGGCAAGTCACAGAAAGGCCTAGTTTTGAACTCCTTACAGGGAATTCCTTACAGGGACATCCATAATCCACTGTGAGTAAGAACTAAGTTTAATAATAGTCTTCTCAATGTCCTGGAGTGAAGAAAGGAAATAGGAGATATCCAAAGACCAGGAACAGCTGCAGGAGAGTAGAACTGATCAGAAACTTGACTGGAAATCTCCAACCACAACTCCTGCCTGTGTGATGCTTCCAAGAGAAAGATCTGAACAGTACCTGGATAGGTAGTTCTCATGGAGGATAACATCTGCACTCCTTCAAAACCAAGCTGTGGAGGTGGTGAGATGGCTCAAGGGTAAGGGCATTTGCCTCCAAGCCTGACAGTCTGAGTTCAATCCTTAGGGCCAACACAGTTTAAAAAAAAAAAAGGCTACAACAAGTTGTCCTCTGACTTCAACACACATCCCAGTAGGAGTTGAGGAGATAGCTCAGCTAGTAATGTGTGCCAAGTTCAATGCCCAGAACCAACATTTAAAAAGCTGTGTATTTAGACGGTCAGTTGTGGTACACACCTTTGATCCCAGCACTTGGGAGGCAGAGGCAGGCGGATCTCTGTAAGTTCGAGGTCAGCCTGATCTACAGAGCGAGTTCCAGGACAGCCTCCAAAGCTACAGAAACCAAAAAACAAAAAAAGAATCTGATGTGGTGGCACACACTTATAATCCTCATGCTGAGGGTCACAGGAGGAGGCAGCCTAGGTTTTGACAAGTTCCAGGCCAGTAACAGACTCTGTTTTGTCTCTACATAAGGTGAACAACATTCTTAAGAAAAGGACATTCAAGGCTGTCCTTCCACGAGTACAAATACACTTATGTGTGCATGCAGACACACACATTAGTTTGCTCCCCTCCAAGGGAAAGTCATGTCATTTCTGGTTTCAAAGTTGAGTGTAGCAGTCTCCCTTTACTAGAGCTCTAACCCTCTAGTAGTCTTTTTATCAAAATATGCTAGGAGGAGCAATGCCCAATGCCTTTGGCCCAGCTACTTGAGAGATTGAGTAGGAAAATCACCTAAACCCAGGTAAGTTAAGATCAACCTGGGCAAACAGGGCTCTATCTCATTCAATGTCACCAAACAAATGCTCAGTTAATCAAAGTAGTAAATCCTCCTAAGTAGAAACACTATCACCAAGGGGATAAACTTAAAAGAAATTTAAGGGGTCATCCTCCAAACCAATAGCCAATAGAATGCCAAAGAAGCCTGAATAAAGCAACAGCTTCCCACTCACAGCCAGCCAAGAGCACAGGCAGCTCACTAATCCCACAGACACAACACAATCTCTAACCTTAAGGACGATGGATACTTAGGCACTACTTGGAAGCCTTCTAGAGTTAAAAGTCGTCACATGGAATGTCCCTGCCTGTCTATCTGCCCTTTAATATTGCTCCTAAAAGACAATCAAAGTCTGATATGGTGGGGTGTGCCTTTAAGCTCAGCACTCACAGTGGAGTCAGATGGATCTCTAGGTTTGAGACCAGCCTGCTCTGATTAGCAAATTCAGGCCAGCCAGGGCTATTAAACAAACCACACACACAAAACAAAATAACCCAAAAGAACAACAACAAGTTGGGAAATCAGGAGTTCCTTAGCACACGGGTGTAATGGCATCCAGTCCCCAGGACAAAGAACCTCAATACGGGAAGAGTAGGAACACGTCAAGAGTATGGGCACACCACTCTAGGAGACTACCCAACAACAGGAACCAAACAGGTTCCTGTACTTACTTGAGAACTGATTTCCACACTGAATCAAGAACATACATCCTGTGTTCTAGGTCAGATTAGAGATAGCTCCCACTAACACAATTCTAGTGTCTCTAAAATACAATGAAACAGGCAAGAACAACTCCCATCCATCATTACTCCATTAAAATGGTTATATATTTCAGAATTCTCTTCTCGAAACAGAGAAGGTGCCAATTCTTTTCTGAAATTCAGTTCAGTCAAATGTCTGGTAAAATAGATTTCTATCACATGCAGAGATGGAGTTAAAATTCCAAGGTGAATCCTGCCTCAGGAGGCAGAGGCAAGCAGCTCTCTTAAGTCCAAGGCCAGACTGATCTACAGAACAAGTTACAGGACAGCCAGGGCTACACAGAAAAACCCAGTCTTGGGGAAAAAAAAAAAACCTCAAGGTGATTTCATGAAGGGAATCTTCCCCCCAACTATAGGTAATTTTTTAATCACATAAATTTAACTTTGTAGCAAGCCTGATTGGCCCAGAAAAGTTAAAATTAAATATTATAAATATTAAAACTAAAAGCCTTCAGTCATCTAAAATAATGTATGAGCAGTTTTGTTTTCTATTTGTTTCTTTGTTTAAAGCAAAATTCTAGTCAGGAGTGTTGGCGCATACCTTTAATCTCAGCACTCAGAAACAGAGACAGATCTTTCTGATTTATAGGCCAGCCAGTACTACCTAGAGAAGACTGCCACAAAAAATGATGGATGGATGTGATGGACAGATGGACGGATGGACAGAAGGACGGACAGATGGACAAGCAAAGCAGTGTCTCAAATAGCTGGAGCTAGTTCTGAACTCTATACCGCCAAGCATGATCTTGAATTCTTTTATTTAATTTTTTGATTTGTTTTTGTTTGTTAGTTTGGTTTTATTTTGTTTTGTTTGAGTCAGCATTTCTCTGACTCAGTAGTTTTGGAACCTGTCCTGGGACTTACTCTGTGGTCTCGAACTCACAGAAATCCACCTCTACCTCCACTCTACATCCGAGTGATGGGATTAAAGGCCTGAGTCAGCACACCTGGCAATAAATACATTTCAAAAAATGTATTTATTGTATGTATTGGGAGGTAGAGGCAGAAAGATTGGGAGCTTAAGTTGCTTGAGACCCTATGTCCAAAACCAAAACACCCAACTTTAAAATCTCAGTGCATCATCGTCTCCAAAAAGAGGCTGTGGAAACCCAAGGCAGATGACTTACATGTGCTCCCAAGACTGCATCCATTTCCATCTCACCAGAGACACTAACATAGCCCTGAATTCTGACGGTTAAATGATAGAGTAGCTCAATGTTCATAATTAATATTTCCTCCCCACCTACACCTCCCAGCAACCAGGGTGCTTAGAGATACTGGCAAGAAAAATGGAGTCACACAGCTAAACTGTATTACCATCAGCCAGCTTTCATAATAGGGAAGGTCTGACTTCACCCCTTTACTGAGTTACCTGAATAAATTCCAGAGTATGAGGGAAGCACTCTCGGGAAGAGAGGAGTTAATCAGATAAAAGACACATATTCTAAAAATCCAGACCAAAAGACCAAAGCTAGACAGACTGAAACTGTCTGAATATAAAGGCAATACTAGGAAAAGCCCACGGAGTTTGCCCTGGAGATGTAACAGGACA